TTTCATTAGACTATAACTCATTTGTTCTTGTATTTCAAATCCAAATATAATAGTAAAAAGCTATTTTGTATCCCAATTATTATCAAAAAGATAACGATTAAACCCAATTACGGGCTCCCCTAGTCTAATAGAATATATTGAGAGAGATTTATAGAGCATTGTTGGCCACCAATTGTATTTTACAATTTTTCCAAAGTACGAAACATGTCATGTGCTTTTTTTTCTTTTGGATAAGTCAGATATTTTTTTATTTAATTATTATTTAAATTTAATTTTTAGGAGAGTACACCCCTATTTAAAATTTCTGGATCCGCCACTGAATGTAGTATAGCGGGTTCAGTTTCACTTATCAACCCGAGTCCTAGATGTATTGACTAGTCGGTGAATTCTCTATTATCTAGCGATGAAAGTGTAGAGAAGTGTTGCAAGCAAAGCATAAATGAAAAAGGTAAATGTTATGATTTCCAAGTTCGAGAAAGAACACTCAGGTAAGCGTTCCCCTAGTCTGCAGTTAGGCAAAGTTGTAATTCATCCAATCCAATTGAGTTGATATTTATACTGCGGAAAGTCCTGTGAGATACTATCCTCCACGGAAATAAACTACCAACGCAATTCAAGAAGATTTCCTCTACTGGGTTTTGACTCCATTATAGAGCAATGAATAGATTGACTTTCGTACAATCGATTCACTACTTCCAATTCAGGTTTCTCTATTAACCTATTCAAAGACTATCATTCTAGGTCAAAGCAAGAATCATACAAACGTGATCAAGATTCATATAATTATGATTAATGCCCAATTAAATATATAATCATCAAGTGTCAAGAATATGGGTTCTCTTTACTAAAGCTGAGTATCGAGTTAGGTATGACGATACCTTCGAGTTTGAGTTGTTGCAACGATTACTTGGCAATCTCAGTGTGATATGCTAGGTACCTATGCAGTTATATGTAAATTATATTAGATTCATTATGATCGCCACCGATCTTGTTCTTCATGATCATACCAAAGACATTAAAGTCCACGTCCACTACATTAAAGACCTTCTTCATGATGGCACCATAGGGATTTTTTATTTTACTTCGTTGGACCAAATCGTTGATCTCTTAGGTAAGGCCTTAGTTGCTAGTCATCACTCTTATATTGCTGGAAAATTAATGATGCAAGAGCTCTATCAATCTGTGGGATGCTGTTGAGTGCTGAGTTGCTACCCAGGCAAGCTCATGCAGTCATGTACATCGGCCTAGGCCTAGTTATTATAAGAAAGGTTATCTTCTCCAAGTCTCTTCTTCTTAGTGAACTTTTTATCTTCTCTGAGTCTCTATATCATCGTCTTCTCTTTATTCATCTATGATATATATATATATATATATATATATATATATATATATATATATATATATACACGACATACATTGATGATAAAAAGTGAATAAGAAAGGTTAAAGCTTCACCATGGAATAGACTTGCTCACCATGAAAAAGAAAATGCGTAAATTACGTATTGTTTTGTTTCTATATTGTTTCGATTGCATCCTTATTTCGATCGTTCAACACAAAGCCTTAAAGTATGGGGGTTCTTGCTGAATAATGACAGTGAATTGATCTATGGTATATCTGGCTTATCATATGTTGGAGTTAGAGTAAAGCTTTTAGAGGCAATATAGTTGAAAAGTGAGTGCCACAAGAGGTGACAATGAACTATGACAAAACTCGCCCTAACATTTTAGGTGGATGCTCCCTCTTTGTCGGGAAATACTTCTATGGCTTCCCCTTTCAGGAAGCCGCCCCCGAGAGTTGCTAAAGACTTCCTCTTCCATTTGTGAAATGGAGGTTGAAGCAAAGAAATAGCTAGAGCCTAGAGGGACCCCTAAGTTGACGCTCTTGACTTAGAAGGAAAGCTCGTCCACCTCCCTTTTCACCTCGGATTCAACAAGAACCTAAACTCCCTCACACCAAAGAAGAATCAGAGCTCCTAGATTGGAGTGACTTTCCTCGAGTGCACCATTTCCTGAAAAATAACGTCCGCTGGAGGCAGATCATCAATTGGAACTATACACCACTGGCTCATCAATGACAAATTGACGAGGAAGATTTCCAAAAGTTTGAAGGTCAGGGGAGACATGTTTTTAGAGATTGTAGGAGTTTGGGGGTTTTTAATTGTTCTTTCTTATGGAAATTTGAACTCGCCCCGCGGGTATTACCCGACCCGCAGTAGAATGAGGCGGGGCATGAGTATCTACTTCCGACCGCCCTGTCCTGCCTCGTCCCGTTCTAGGTCAATTCTATCTCAATTTCTTACAGTATCTATACATATTTCTCATATTTTGATTTTTCTTCAACTAGTCGCAGACGCAGTCAATCTTTCAACTTACTAGACTCAATTATCCATTCTATTATCAATAGTTTCATTCATAAAGTTGCCCCGCCCCATGACCATCACTAGTTTCTGACCTCCTTGGAGATCCTCTGCTACTCCCGGTTATACCTGATAGATCCATGAGTAATGACACTCATGGCCCGATACCAGAGTTGCACCTCTTCTTTTGTAACCTCTCTATTCCTCTCCATTGTTCAACTTGCAAAATCTAGTGAAATATCTGCAATAAATTTCATGGAAATCAATTAAGGCTCATAATCATCCACTAGCCCCAAAAATATGGGTTAAACCATGGAGTAGAGTAAAGATATGATGATTAATTTGTAGTTTCATTAAGTTATTGGTAAATGTTCAATTAGAAGATTTCAATGTGTGTCTGTTATTGCTTTGTATATAAACAAAATTATCTTGAAGAGAAGAAAATACAAATCATCTTTTGTCACCTATCAAGGTTAAAAGTGCGAGCACTTCTACTATGCTATAAAGTATTGATGCTTTAATGTACAACTTAAAGTTGTACCATAATGTTAAATGTATAAGTTAAGATTGTACCATAACAGAATTTGTACCCTTATGTTATGGTACAACTTTATAACTTAAAGTTGCACCATCACATGAAGGTACAAGTTTAAGTTATACCATAAAAGAATTTGTACAAAAAGTATAGGTACAATCTGAAGTTGTATCATAACATTAAAGACAATATTAGCTCATTGGTAACGAGCTACTTACCCTTGGATTGTGTACCCAATGTTGTTTTAAGGATGTATTTGAGTACAATGCTTGGCTTTACTAAATTGCGTCTCTTTCATCCTACTAGTGAAGAATTGTTTTGAAAACAAAAATAGGGAACCAATTGGCTATGAGAAAGATGATTAGAATACTACCTTTTTCTCTCTCGTTAACTCAATTAAGTGTCAAAGCAATATCATTTAGAGGAGAGTGGCATAGCCCAAGGCTACAATATTGTTTTGATCCTACAACGGTAGCCATCATATGCAAAATCCCCCTCCGTAGATGCCATCAAAGAGACACGAGAGTTTGGCATTTTCCCAGAAATGGATCCTAAACAGTCAAAACGGGATACCATCTGGCATTAGAAATCTCTTTAGCCTCAAGTCGTAAGCCCTTGGTCCAAATTATCGACCCTCCTATCTGGAAGAAAACATGGGGGGTATTCTAGTTCCTCCTAAACTGAAGTTCTTCATTTGGCAGTGCCTGAAAATGGTATTACCTACAGTTGTAGCCCTTAAATCTAGAGGGGTTAATTGTCGAAGTCGGTGCTCTGTTTGTTGGAGAAGTCAGGAAAGTATTGAACACTTGTTCTTCATATGCCCTTTGGCCACCAGGTTGTGGTCACTTATGGGCATAAATGACTTCATTTCCTCGGCCTCGACTATGAATTTCAGTCTTTGGTGGCGACATGTTATGCTTTCTGAGCACCCCTAAACCCACGTTCTCCTATACGTTTGCGTATTGTGGAGAATCTGGAAGTCTCGAAATGAGGTGGTATTTGAGCATTATCAGCCTCATGCCCAATCTCTAGCTCGTCAATGCTTTTTCCAAGTCCGCGAAGTCTCTTCCTCTCTCCCTCCGGTACCCGTCCCTCCCCTTCAGCCCTCAAGCTCCAGCCTCACCTCCTGGATCCCTCCTCCTATTGGTTTTCTGAAGATAGTCTTTGATGCTGCGGTTCGTGCGTTCGGTTGCTCGTCTGGACTAGTGATTCGTGGAACAGACGGGCATGTGGCGCTGGCAGTAGGATTCCAGCACCCAGGCATTGTTGACCCCTACCTCGCAGAACTTCTTGCAGCTCGAGACGCTATCTCCCTCTTGATCTCCAAGTCCCTTCCTCGTGTCATCATCGAAGGGCATTTCTTCAGATTCACTGGGAGGTCCGGTGCTACGTGATTGCTTCCAGCTCCTGCCTTCAGTTTCTCTTTCCTTAGAGTTTAGGGTAGTTCCTAGAACTGCTAATGGGCCTGCCCATAGAGTGGCGCTGAAAGCCCTGTTACTTTCTCCTCTTGAGATCGGTTCCTTCGGCTTTGTAGGGTGGTTTCTCTAATGTATTGGTTTGGGAGGGTTTTGGGGTAGATTGTATAGTTTTTTCTCTCTTGACATTTCTTGGAAAAAAAATACTAATCTAATATATTTTATTTTATTTTATTTTAGACACTATATATTTATCTAGAAGAAATTAATTTTGGATGGAGGATACATAAAATTTATGGATTATCACCACCCGCTAAAATAAATAAGACAACTTAGGGCTGTAAAACCCTAATGCCTTCATCACGCCGTCACCGGATGGGCAAAGGAGTAGAAGAGTTGGGAAAATTACTTTTAACCGTCGATAGCCGGTAGGAACAACAGCCGTCCATCGTGGCGACTACACTCTCTCTAATCTCATCCTATCTCTATTTTCTCCCCACTGTCAAATTGAAATTGTAAAATAATTTTTTCACCATTTTTCTAATAAAATAATTTTTTCTCCACATCTCTTTTTCAGTTTTCCCCCTTGGCTTCCTTTTTCCCCTCGCTCGCACTCGGCACTCGTTGCCTCTATGTTCTTATATCTCTGCCTCTCTCTCTATACAAACAAAACAACTCTCTTCTCTTCTTCATTCGCATCCGCTCGCTCTCTCTCTCTCTCTGAACCAAATTGCACAAATAAAAAACCTGAGAGGAATTCGACTTTCGACGCAGAGAGAGGAAGGAAGGAACAGAGAATTTCAGGGGAAAGGGAAATTGGAGAGCAAGGGCTGGTGTGCTTCGCTTCAATTCATTACAAGGTTCGCTCTGCCAGTGGAAATTCCTTGCTGCTGTCGTTGCTGTTTCGATAATCGCTGCTTGGAACGCGCATCTCCATTGGTGCGGTTCCATTTTCGCTATCCGTGGCCATGGTCATGGCCGTTGTAGTTGCGAAGGCTCGAGTTCGAACTTGTTTCGGCTTTTTCTTTTTGTGTATTTGTCGCTGAATTGGAAGAGGGACTTGGAGAAAACGGCGATCTTTTCCTCTATCTATGTCTGCCTGCTGTTGGATATCTCGTCGTTACAATTCTCCCTGCTCGCTATGGCTGTCTGTGTTGTACTGGAGAATTTCGAATTGCCCTTGCGTGTTAGCTTTGCCTTCAAGTAATGGCGTATTTTCAAACCTCTCCTCGTGGTTGCTCTAGACTTGTTCTGCCAATTCGGTTTGGGATCGTTTGGTGGTTTCCTTGGTGATCTAGGAGTTGAAATTTGTTTGGCTCTATCATGATAAATCTTGTTTTATGAAATAGGAGATTGTTAGAGTTCGCCTGGGTTTAGATCTGCCTCGCTTGTGCTAATGAGCGGGTTGTTTGGGTTTGCAGTTGTTTTTGAAGCTATGAGTTGCTGCTGAGGTGAAAGGGAGAAGCTTTATCGTTTCTCGCCGGCGTCTGTCTGTGTCTTTCTGGTGCGATGAAGAGGTCAAGAGATGAGGTCCATATGGCTGCACAGCTTAAACGGCCCATGATCGCGTCCAGAGGAGAAACGTACTAAATTTTATCTCTCCCTGTGATGTTTTCTTTCCGATCCCAATCTTGGTTCATTATTGTTTGTTTCCATCTTATTGTGACATCGGAGCATGTTGGTCTAATCGGGATTGTGCCCTCTAGGTTACCATGGATAGATGGACTTTAGCTTTTAGGTGCATCTGCTGCTTTTTGAATTTCCTTCACTAGTGTAGACATTTTCTGTTTAATATTTCACTTGTTGAAGCAAGGTTTTAGGGGCATTGTTCTGACTAGCGGTGTTTTGCATGAATTTGGAAGGGTGTTCGTGTTATCAGTTTAGAGAATAATTTGGCATCATATTTGTCTTCGCATCAGTAATGTTATTCTAATGCAATTTGAAGATTGGGTACTAATTTGCTTGTGCTGTGTGTAAATATTTGTGCCTTGAAGTTCGGGGCACCCACAGATGCTGGGAGGAGTTGGAGCAGCAGTAGCTGCGGGTGCTGGAGGAGTAGGAGGAGGGGCAGCAGCTGCAGCAGGAGGGGTAGGTGCAGCCCAGAAGCTTACCACGAATGATGCACTGACTTATCTCAAGGCTGTAAAGGAGATATTTCAGGACAAGCGGGACAAATATGATGATTTTCTTGAGGTTATGAAAGATTTCAAAGCTCAAAGGTATGATCTCTATGAGGATTCTAGCTCTCTGTCCTGTTTATGATCTAAATTTAATTAATTGTGAGGCTAGCAAGATTCTGACTATTAACGTTTTTTTTTTGTTGCTGTAGAATTGACACTGCCGGCGTCATAGGAAGGGTGAAGGACTTATTTAAAGGGCATCGTGACCTAATTTTGGGTTTTAATACCTTCTTGCCTAAGGGGTATGAAATCACTCTTCCACTGGAAGGCGAACAACCTCCACAGAAGAAGCCAGTGGAATTTGAAGAAGCAATTAGTTTTGTTAACAAAATTAAGGTATATGTGTTGCCCATTGTACATACTTAGTCTACATTGTTATTTGAAAGGCTATAACAGTATGTGGATACTTATGCAGACAAGGTTTCAGGGTGATGATCACGTTTACAAAGCTTTTTTAGATATTTTGAACATGTACAGAAAGGATAACAAATCTATCACAGAGGTTTACGAGGAGGTATATCATGTTCATTTGAGGCATTCAATTGTTTTTATGATTAATAGAACAGAACGGCCTATCAGTTCTCTTTCTTTTGATTTCTCCTAGGTGGCTACACTTTTCAAAGACCACCACGATCTGCTTCGGGAGTTTACTCACTTCCTACCTGATAATTCTGCTTCAGCCTCTACTCATTTTGTTTCTTCGAATAGGAACTCTATTCTTCGTGATAGGAGCTCTGCAATGCCTGCAATGCGTCAAATGCATGTTGACAAGGTTTTTTTTCTTCTTTTTCACTCCCTTTTCATCCCGGTGATGTCAAATCATTCATGAAATTAACATTTAGCTTTTTTTTTCTTTCTTTTGGTTACCTGTCAGAAAGAACGGACTCATCCTGATCGTGATTTCAGTGTTGATCGCCCTGATCCAGACCATGATCGGGCTCTGATGAGAGCAGGAGATAAAGAGCAAAGGAGGCGAGTTGAAAAAGAAAAAGAGAGAAGGGAAGATAGAGATAGGAGAGAACGTGATGACAGAGACTATGAGCATGATGCAAATCATGACTATAGCATGCAACGGTTTCCTAATAAGCGGAAACCTGGTCGTAAGTTGGAAGATTCTGGTGCTGAGCATCATGTTGGTGTGGGGGATGATAACTATGGAATGCATCCCATGTCATCAAATTATGATGATAAAAGTGCTGTTAAAAGTTAGTGCAAGACTTTATTTTGTTTAACTTTGTCGACTTAATTGTGCTTCATTTCAGCTAACATTTACAGAGGTTTGTAAATATTCCAATTGCTTATCTTGTCTATCACAATACAGGTGCATTGAGCCAAGAGCTAGCTTTCTGTGAGAAAGTGAAGGAGAAGTTGCGTAATCCTGATGCTTACCAGGAATTTTTGAGGTGCCTCCATCTTTACACGGAAGAAATAATCACTCCACCAGAGTTACAATCTTTGGTATGGATTATTGCTTCCTGAAATCATAGTAATCAAGAAAAGTATTTTTCTACAATTTATTTCTTATTGTTGCATTGTTAGGGCAGCCTTGATTTCTGTTCTGTTTTTATAGTTAAGAAAAATTAGCCTAGAAATGGAAATGTGATTAGTTAAATTAAGAATGCGTGAAGCCTGCTTCATATTCCAGCATCTGGTACTGCTTCTCTTTGTTTTTGGTGCTTAACTTGGCCACTAATTGAGCACAACTAGGATCAACATGTGCTTAACTTGGCAACTTGTTGAGCAACCTTTCTTTCAAACAAAACCATGACATGGAAACACTGCTTATTTCAGGTGGGAGATTTAATTGGAAGATATCCTGATCTTATGGATGGCTTCAATGACTTTTTGTCACGTTGTGAAAAGAATGGTAATTTTCTAGTATCTGCTGTGGCATGTTCCCTTTAAATGTTTGGTCTATTTTCTAATAGTAGTCTGTTTTGCAGAGGGCCTACTTGCTGGCGTTGTGAGAAAAAGTAAGTTTTGATCTAAAAAAATTGATTAGGTTGCCCTTGTCAAATGCTGCTTAGATTCTTGTTTGCTGATCACATCCTCTAGAAATGTTGTTTCGTGCTTGAATTCAGTCATAGCAAAGTGTAACTGAATTTTCACACTTTTAACTTTGTTGGTTAGAAGATGCAAACAACTTGATTTGCATGGTCTGTGGATTAGGGTTCAGATGTTATGGACTGTTTTTGCACTGTTTCCTTCGGCTTTTGCTTTCGGTCATTACTGAAGGGAACAATTGTTGTCTAAGTGTCGAGTATGGCTGGGTGCATACATCTTGAGTAGTGTTCTTGCTGACTGCTTTCCCCTCAACCGTTTTGGAATGAAGGTAATTTCCCTAGACCTGTGAAGGCAGAGGACAGGGACAGAGAGCGTGTGCTCGAGAGGGATGATGGGGCCAAAGAAAGGGATCGTGAAATGCGAGAAAGAGATAGACTTGACAAAAATGTAGCCTTTAGCAATAAAGACACAGGAAGTCACAAGATGCCCTTGTATTCTAGCAAGGACAAGTTTTTGTGGAAACCTGTCAGTGAACTTGACCTATCTAACTGTGACAGCTGCACTCCAAGTTACCGACTTCTCCCAAAGAATGTATGTAAGCTATTATGTAGGATTGTGGATATGACCTTATATAAAGATGCTGAAATGATCTGGTTTTCCTATTCAGTATCCCATTCCTATGGCAAGCGCAAAGAAAGGGATTGGTGCTGAAGTTCTGAATGATCATTGGGTATCTGTCACTTCTGGAAGTGAAGATTACTCGTTCAAGCACATGCGCAAGAACCAGTATGAAGAAAGCCTATTCCGATGTGAAGATGACAGGTTAGTCCTTCAAACTCGTGTAACAATTACTAAGGAGCTGTTACAGTTCATTCTCATGAATCCTAGCAGGCAGTCCCTTTGCAACTTGTTTACATTAGATGTTTCCTCTCCTGTAAAAGTCTTCAATATCTATGTTGAGACCTTTGTTATCTTGTTATGCCAATTTTGAGTTGGTGATTTCTACTATTTGTCAGCAATTTTTCAGATTACTAAGGGTCTTTATTGTTTGTAGGTTTGAGCTGGATATGTTGTTGGAATCTGTCAACGCCACTACCAAACGTGTCGAAGAGTTGTTGGAGAAAATCAACAACACAAACAAAGGAGATGGTCCCATCTGTCTTGAAGAGCACCTAACAGGTTGGTTATTCCTGATAATTTTTTGCAATCCATTCTTGATCTTTTTACTTCTCTTTTCTTTACACTCTCTTATGGTCCCTTTGTCCTCTGTTGTTTTAGCTCTCAATCTGAGGTGCATTGAACGTTTATACGGCGACCATGGACTTGATGTAATGGACGTATTAAGAAAGAACGCTTCTCCCGCTTTGCCTGTGATATTAACTCGTTTGAAGCAGAAACAAGAAGAGTGGGCTAGATGTCGTGCAGATTTCAACAAAGTTTGGGCTGAAATCTACTCTAAGAACTATCACAAATCACTTGATCATAGGAGCTTCTATTTCAAGCAGCAGGATACAAAGAGCTTGAGCACCAAAGGTAATTTGGTTCTTCCTGAGAAGTTCATGGATGCAATTTCTGTTTTTTAGTTCACATTTTTTTGTCAAAATCATCATTTTTTGTAATATTATGTTGATTTATACGAGTCTTACTAGTGATACTTTGGAGTGGCAGTGTGGTACCATGTGAATTCAACATCATATAATAATCATTCACATTCCTTTTTTCCCTTCCTGCTTTTGACTCATCCTTCTTGACATGATTGAAGATGTGACTGGTTAACTGGTGGTAATTCGGTTGTTCCTAAGAGTTGCATGGATGAAATTTCTGCTTTTTACTTACATATTTTTTCCCCCTCAAAATCATCATTTTGGTAATAGTATGCTGGTTTATACGAGTCTTACTAGTGATAATTTAGAGTGGCAGTGTGGTACCATGTGAATTCAACATCATATAATAATCATTCATCTTCCTTTTTCCCTTCTTGCTTTTGACTCGTCCTGCTTGACATTGAATGAAGGTTTGACCGGTTAACTTGTCTTAGGCAGTTATGGACAAATTGCTAAAATAAGGTAATCTGGCAAGGAGTTTGTGCAGCATAAGGTGCACAATAATTGGGATTTAGTAGAGATCCTTCGAGAATTTAAGAAATCAATCCCTTTTTTGCTGAAACAAACAAGTATTCGTCTGTTTATTTTGTTCCTCTGTCTAACTTGAGACTTTAAGAACTCGATCCCTTTTGTGATGTCAAACTTGAGCCTTTAAGACCTACTGCCTTCCTGCTACAATTATAGTATCCGAGTTTATTACCCCTTAATGCACAAGAAAAACGCATTGAATGACTTTGAAAGCATTATGGATGACTTGTCCATCAAATAACTGAAGCACTACCATTTTCATTTTTTTCCACCTATGTAGTTGACGTACTATTAGAGTATTAGTGGCTTATTGTTTTCCTTAAATGCAACAGAGGACTTGTCTTAAAGAGTATGGTTTGATTATCATTTGGGCGCATAATTAACATTTGGTGTTCTCTACTCTACAGCTCTTTTGGCAGAGATAAAAGAAATTAGTGAGAACAAGCGCAAAGAGGATGACATGCTGCTAGCATTTGCTGCTGGAAACAGGCGTCCAATCGTACCTAATTTGGAATTTGAGTATCCCGATCTTGATGTTCATGAGGATCTGTATCAGCTAATCAAGTACTCCTGTGGGGAAGTTTGTACAACTGAACAGCTCGATAAGGTCATGAAGATTTGGACCACTTTCTTAGAACCAATGCTTGGTGTTCCTTCTCGACCTCAAGGTGCGGCAGAGGACACTGAAGATGTCGTGAAGGCAAAGCCTCTTTCTCCCAAGCACGGATATAGTGATGGAAACCCAAGCGGTTTTGCTGCCATGGACAGCTCAAAAAACATGGTAAATCCTTCAAGAAATGGAGAAGAAATTATCCAACCTGAGCAACAATCAAGTTCAACTAAAGTCTGGTTAGATAATGGGGTTAAAGAAAACGGTTCTCCTGTCATCACCAACCATGCTGCTCGTAAAAATGATACTTTGTGCAGTACCCTTCAGCATGATAGTAAGTTACAGATTGCTCCGTCTGCAGCTTCCGAATCTTCTGGGGCTGGTAAGCAACCTACTTCAGGCGAACGGTTGGCTAATTCAAGTCCTTCACTTGCTACAGTGGTGGAGTTAAGTAATGGAAAAGCAAATCCTGAATCAGGTTTGTCAGATATTTGCTTCATCTCCTATGGATTATCTTCTTCTGAAGTTGGTTGATTCGACCTCTGATATTTGAGATCTGCTTTTCAGGTCCTGTTGCTGCTTCATCGAAACCAAGTAATGGTGTCACTAGTGGTGGTGGGATTGCAGTAGGTTCCAGTAAAGAAGTTTTTCCACCAACAGAGGTGTGTTCTTTTTGCTGTTTGAGCTTATCTATACGATTCATTCTTCACAAATTGACTTGCGTGACCCAGTAAATTTCCCATATGTTTAGGAAATAATACTTAGTTCCTGATCGAATCCGTGTGTGCATTAACTTGTTTCTCTTTAGGCTGGTGAATTTCCTAGGCCAGTCGTATCAACAAATGTGGTTGCGGTAGAGGGTAGTAAAGGTCAGAGATACAATGAAGAATCAAATGTGCAGTTCAAAATTGAAAGAGAGGAGGGGGAGTTGTCTCCAAATGGAGGAGATTTTGAGGAGGATAATTTTGCTGCAGTTTATGGAGAAGCTGGTTCAGAGGTTGTTAGTGCTGCAAATAAATCTAATAGAGAGAGTGGCGCTCCTAGCAGCAGCAGGCATTATAAAGGACAAAAGAATGTGGAAGCAGTTGAAACGCAAAATGGAGAGGCAGCAGGAGAGAATGATGCTGATGATGAAGGTGAGGAAAGTGCTCAAAGGTCATCAGAGGACAGTGAAAATGCCTCCGAAAATGTTGCCGATGTCTCCGGGAGTGAGTCTGGTGATGGTGAAGAGTGCTCCAGGGAAGAAGAGCATGAAGAAGAAGATGGGGATCATGATGATGAGAATGATAATAAGGCTGAGAGTGAAGGTGAGGCCGAAGGAATGGCTGATGCTCATGATGTTGAGGGAGATGGGACAACAGTTTTACCATTTTCAGAAAGATTCCTTCTCAATGTGAAACCTCTAGCAAAGCATGTCCCTCCGGCATTGCATGACAGAGAAAAGGGTTCAAGAGTTTTCTATGGGAATGATTCGTTTTATGTGCTTTTTAGACTTCACCAAGTGAGTTATTATTTCATCATTATTTGTGTATTAATTCATGATACATTTATTAACAACTCCTTTGTGTTGTTTGCTAGACTTTGTACGAAAGGATACAGTCTGCAAAGATCAACTCATCATCTGCTGACAGGAAATGGAGAGCAGCTTCAAATGACACAAGTTCCACCGATCTGTATGCTAGGTTAGTGCAGCGGGAGAAGCTCTCTTTTCTCGTTTTTTGGGGGTAGAAAGAAAGATGCTAATGGCAACTTAATTCATATATCGAACTCGATGGTTTGGGGTTATTCCCATAACACCATAAGAAAGCCAGTTCTAAGACCTTGGTTGCTCACATCGAATAGATGTGTGCCAAAAACAGAGCAATACCGTTTTCTAATTCTCGTTTCTGATTGCCCAACTAATATTAATCTGACCATGCATCTTGACAGGTTTATGAGTGCTCTTTACAACCTGCTTGACGGATCTTCTGACAACACAAAATTTGAGGATGACTGCCGAGCAATAATTGGGACACAGTCCTATGTCTTATTTACTTTGGATAAGCTTATATATAAGCTAGTCAAACAGGTAATGATTTGTGACTTTCCGTGACGTATCCTTTTCTTTTCCTATATTTCCAAAATTTCACACCTTCTGCCAAATTTCTCGCAGCTCCAAACATTGGCAACTGATGAGATGGACAATAAGCTACTGCAGTTATATGCTTATGAAAAATCGAGAAATGCTGGAAGGTTTGTTGACATAGTTTATCATGAGAACACACGCGTCCTCCTTCATGACGAGAATATATACAGAGTTGAATGTGTAAGTCTATAATCCCCCTGTTTGTAAATCGTTATTTCTTCAGTTCCCCACCCCCAAACTTGAGCTTAACGATTCACTTTTGATTGGGTCTTAATTTCCTACTACATTGTAGTCTTCCGAGCCAACCCGGTTGTCCATACAGCTGATGGACTTTGTACATGACAAGCCTGAGGTAACTGCAGTTTCCATGGATCCAAACTTTTCTATGTACCTCCAGAGTGACTTCCTCTCCGTTGTTCCGGAGAAGAAAGAGAAGCCCGGGATTTTTCTGAAGAGGTGAGCCGAGATAATTAATGACAACCTTTTTTCTCTTTTTTCCCTGTGTTTCGTAAGTGTGGCAAAGCTCTTCATAATTGGACCCCTTGATTCATAATTTGTAGCAGGAACAAACGTAGGAATGCCGTTGGTGATGAATTCCAAGCCATGGAAGGATTTCAGATTTTCAACGGTTTAGAGTGCAAAATTGCTTGCAATTCTTCCAAGGTAGCAGAACGACATTTCTCCATTCAATTCATATCCTCGTGATCATCCTTTTTGAGAATGGAATTGGCATTGTCCTCGTAGTAAAATCCAATTCCGTTTCCCCGATCTTTGCAAATGCTCTAGGTATCGTATGTTTTAGACACGGAAGATTATCTGTTTCGGACAAGAAGAAAAGGAAGGAGAACCCTCCCACAGAACTGTTCGCCATCCAATCAGGGAAAGAGCTGCGAAAGACAAGAGCGGTTCCAAAGATGGTTATCTAGGTCATAGCACTGGATACTCTACCCATGGCTCCCCCCTTCTTTAACATCCTGGTAAGGTACGTCCCAAGCTGTTGCCTTATGCGCAGAAGCAAGAAAAGATGGAGAAAACATGATCTCTATTTGTTTCATCCATCTCATTTTGCTGTTATGACTGGCAGAACACACTGCATTTTTATTTTGGGATGAGTTTACGCGCAACTTGCATCGGCATCGGGAGAAACGAACACGATGTTGTAGGCGGAAGGATGCACGTATACTTCACAAAGTTCATTGGGTCTTCTCCCTGTCAAGGGAAAAGGTGAAATAAAAAGCCGATTAGAAGAGGCAAAAGGCAGCAGCAGCAGCAGCAGTAATAGCAAGGTGATGGGGCTGCGTGATTGAAATGTAGTATAGCTTTTGTACGTTAGGAGGTCAGGCATTTTGAGCCATCAAAATGCTTTTCTTTCTTCTTTCTTTGTGTACATAGAGAAGGTAAAGGAGAATGTGATCATGTAATACGTGGTGATAGATATCCCTCATCAGATAGACTTGATGATGTATTGTTCATTTCATTCATCATTCATTTTCCCCTTACGATCCCACGTCCTCTATCGGCCGAGAATACTTTCTTAAGATGTCTGATCTTTTCCTTTGCTTGAAGTTGCCATTGGACCGACGCTTTCAGTGGCGGGGAGATGATGACAGTAGGTGGAAGAACATGTAGGGAGAAGAGAAACACAGATCTGTAACGGTATTACTTGGGAGAAATAGAGGAATCTCGCACCTGTGGAGGACTAGAAACGTCGAAGTCACTGAAGCTATTCTAGAGCGTGTTTTAGTTTGGATGTGCGGACTGCCGTGGACAAAGGCAGGTTTGTGAACGGAGGTGGAGATCCTGTGGAAGCTGCCACCTTCATAGTAGGTTAATCTCAATTCAGATAGCTCCGTCATTCCTGAATCAGGTTAAGGTGGCCTGATTAGAGATCATACATAATGTTGAATTTCTGCATTCGCTATTAACTTGAAGATGAGTTCCATCACCCGAACAGTTTTGAGAGGATTTGTAGAAGGTTTTCAGTTGGCTTGGGATTGGGATTACTGTTCGGTTCTCCTGGAATTGGACTCTCAGTGTGGGGTTCATTCATCTCCTACAGAGTCCAGAGCGTTTCGACCATCACATGTTGCCATCCTCGATCTTTCCATGATTTAATTGGTTGGCTGTGATTGTGAAGTTTCTTTCTATTATATATACCGAGAGGAGAACAAATTTGTTGATTTCTTAGCGAGTCGCGGTCACTCTTTACCATTGGGCTTTCATCTTGTATCACTATCAAGATCTCTCCTAGTCTCGTCTTATTGTTATTGAAAGTTGAGAAAAGTTGGTGAATTGCATGACAATTCACATGGAATAAATGAGTTTGAATCACCGTTTTGCCTTCTAGGTGTTCCCAGGGGTAGACATGACCAGCTTCAGCCGTGCAACTGGGTTGTCTGCCCCGACTACGACATCACTTAAGTGGTGATTGGGGAGGGTGTTTCACGTTACTAAAAAGAATACATACACACGTTTATAATCGATCGGGTTCGGGTTGGATAGTATGAAAATCATGCCCATCCATTACTCGTATATTTGAGTTCGGGTTTAACTCTATTCACTAAAAATCCTTCGAATTAGCGTTTTTACGCTATCCAATTAAATCGAATTCAAACGAATATTCTTGGTTGCGGATATATTTGTCATCCTTCTAAACTCTCACTATACAATAACCAATTCTTTTCACAGGAATAAAAGATAAATTAGAAAAATAGGGAAAAGAGATTTGTAGTTTTGTACGGGTAAAATAGTCTAAATCGGTGCCAAAATGAAAATGCGACCTTCAATAAAAAAAAAAAAAAAAAAAAGCGACCTTCCGCAGCGTTGGACGAACACCAGCCTTCTTTATAATACTCTTCTTTACACACTTTCCCTCTTCCCAGCCAACTATTCCTTCCCCTTCTTCGATCCCCTCTCTTCTCCGATTCGAACCACCGCCCTCCGATATGGCGCTCTCTCACCTATCCTCCACCAGATCCAATCGGCTCCTCCGCCCCCTCGCGGCCGCCGCATCCTCCCTCTGCCGCCCAATCTCCACCTCCACCGAGCCCCTCGTAATCGAGACATCCATCCCCTTCACCCCGCACAAGTGCGAGCCGCCTTCCCGCTCCGTCGAGACCAACCCCCAGGAGCTCCTCACCTTCTTCCGCGACATGGCCACCATGCGCCGGATGGAGATCGCCGCCGACTCGCTCTACAAGGCCAAGCTCATCCGAGGCTTCTGCCACTTGTACGATGGCCAGGAAGCCGTCTGCGTCGGCATGGAGGCGTCCATCAATAAGAAGGACTGCATCATCACCGCCTACAGGGATCACTGCACTTTCTTGGGCCGCGGCGGGACTCTCCTCGAAATATTTTCCGAGCTCATGGGTCGACAGGGTGGGTGCTCCAAGGGTAAAGGCGGCTCGATGCATTTTTACAAGAAGGAATCTGGATTCTATGGTGGTCATGGGATTGTGGGAGCTCAGGTTCCCTTGGGTTGCGGCTTGGCCTTTGCGCAGAAGTATAACAAGGATGAGAATGTGACGTTTGCTTTGTATGGTGATGGTGCTGCCAATCAGGGCCAATTGTTCGAGGCTCTTAACATATCTGCTCTTTGGGACCTGCCAATTATCTTGGTCTGCGAGAATAACCATTGTAAGGACGTTAATCTGTTTCTGCTTTTAGATTTCCTGCGTTTGTTCTTTACACTGCTGCTACTTTGGAATCGGGTTCTGAATGAATGGTTGTTTGGCAGATGGCATGGGCACTGCTGAGTGGAGGGCAGCTAAGAGCCCTTCTTACTACAAGCGTGGTGATTACGTTCCTGGATTGAAGGTGGGTTTTAGGGAGTCACAAAGATATGTTCTTTCCTTTGTTAGCATTAGGAAGTCGCATATTATCTGATACAATACCATTCTTTGTCATCATATGCTAGCTTTTGCTGTTTTCTCGAAGGATATTGTTTATTACCAAGTGGATTGGTGATTTCCATTAACATTGTTCTAGTGTCAATACCTGTTCTATCTGGCTAATCGAGATAGTTTCAAATGTGTTGCGGTCAATATGCTGTATTGCGTGACAGAAACCTTGTGGTTGTTAAAGCATAAGATTCATTTATAGTTCCAAAGGAAATATCACTTTTCTTAACAGTTTCCTATTTGGGAATAGGTGGATGGCATGGATGTACTTGCTGTTAAACAAGCATGCAAATTTGCAAAGGAGCACGTGTTAAAGAATGGACCCATTGTGAGTCTCATATCTTCCTTTCTATTGTGTATCTCATGCGGTTTATGGTTCCTTGTTTGGTGAGTGATTCACTGCAATGTATGTTGTCGTGATACCAAGCTAACCATGTACCCTTGAGTCTTACTCGTATCTATGCTTGCACTTTTATTTCCAATGCTTCATTTTAAACAGTAGCCTGTACAGTAATTCTGCCCCATGTAATTTAGGCCCTGGTTTGTGTTATGAATATGGCTGTCCATGGTATTCTATTCTGTACTTCTGGTATATTGACACCTCTGCCATATATTTTGATTTGTTTGAGTGGCTCCTATACGATGGTAAAATGTTTTTTTTTTTTTTTTTTGCCTCGAGCATATGAAAATAAGCTTGTACCATGAAGATTCTGTAATCACCGAAAGTTTCAGAGGATCTTTCCTATGCACAATTTCTCACAAACTTCATTCCATTTGAGGTCACCTTTCTAGCTGTACATAGATTAACCTCAGCAAGATGTGCATAGTGATTGAAAGTTAGTTGTTTGATTTAGCTTATTTGAGATTATTGATCTTCATGTGTTGTAGAGTAGCTGCGTTTCACTTTTAGGGAGAACCTCAGTGGAAAATTCGCGTACCTTCCATGGTTGACTGTGATTTTAGGCTGCTACTGCATTTGAGAACTAGTACAAGAAACATGGCATACTCTTTGGGGACACGGTTTGGAGAGCTGCACTCATAGTAAATTGTTAATTGTGATCTTAGGTTATCACAAAATTTGAGATATTGTACAAAGAATTTGGTATAGCTTTTGAGGTACTTGCATTCATCATTTGAGAGGTGGAACATCTTAACTGTTGGTAGCTCTGACTGATGAATGGTGAAAGTTAAATTATCTTGTTTGCCTGTTATTGGGAGATAGCGAGATTCAAGGACTAAGACTAAGTTACATTTACTTGTCATGTCCCAGTAGTCCGAATTCCTGTAACGGATGGCATAGGGGATTGTTATACCTTGTTTTCGATGGGTTCGTATTGTTATGTATATAAACTCTATTATTGAAGGAAGCGTTTTGGTTTTTAAAAAGGACTAGTAGCTCTAACTAAGGCGGGAGTCCTAGTCTAGTCGATGCCCTAGGAGAACATTTGGTTCTAAAGAAACAATAATCAAGATCTACAGCCACTAGAATGAAGATGCTAACTGTAGCTCAGCTTTGTACTAGATATGGATCCTGGTTATGTTGATCAAACACCTCTGGAAATGAATGCAAGTTTGATGCATGCATTAGTAACATGGAAACTGCTTGTAAAACTCAGGAGTTAGACCACTGGTAGTTGCTTCTCTGATGGATCATGGAGGGATGATGAGAGTGGTAGGGGGGATTTCTTGTAGACATGCGAGATGGGAATATTAGAATTGAACAAGTTGGTTATGTTTCTGGTAGAGGATGGTGTTTAAAGAGATCCTTTGGGAATTTTAGGCAGGCTGCAGAATGCCCATATTAGACTTCAGCAAAATTAATTTCTTTTAGTTCTAAACCTTGTGAGGATACCCAACTCCATGGTACTGAAGGATTGGTGCAATGGGCATCATCGATGTTGAAATTCCTGTAGTTAAGTACTATTATGATGTGATATTTAAAAGGCGAATTGAATTGGGTCCTAGTTCAGCTCCTGTGATTATGGTCATGCTTGGAGGTTTCAGAGGTTGCGCAGCTAGATATGTGAGCAACACTCTGGTAACTGAACCAAGTCCTTGTTTCAGCGCTGCTAACATGTTGTATGCTATTGTAATCAGATTGCTTAGGCCTAACTCTATAGACTTTTTTACTTTACTCTCTTGAATTTGCCATCACTTCATAAAATGCACCTAATTTTTTTGGTGGTGTGAACTAGATTCTTGAGATGGATACATATAGGTATCACGGTCACTCCATGTCTGACCCTGGTAGCACCTACCGTACCCGTGATGAAATCTCTGGCGTGAGACAGGTAATCAGATGGTTATTCATAATCTGTCTATGTTCCATTGGGAAAAACTCTTTTATGATGGCTAATACATTTTCTATCTTTCCACTGACCATCTTCAGGAGCGTGATCCAATTGAAAGAGTTAGGAAGTTGGTACTGGGCCATGATCTAGCCACTGAGAAAGAGCTAAAGGTAATTAAGTGTTCAACTTCCTTTTGACACATGTAAAATCGTACAGTGTAGTTGTTATATTTCCTCGTAAGCTTTGTTCGATGTGTTATGGAGACTGAATAGCTGTTTGTCTTCTGATTTTCAGGATATTGAGAAGGAAATTAGGAAAGAAGTAGATGAAGCCATTGCCAAAGCCAAGGTTTGAATTATGAAATGGTTTTGATTACTTAGTGTCTTTGTGATATCCCGTACGCTCCATGCTTAACATTGTTTTGATTTGTGTTAACAGGAAAGCCCGATGCCAGAGCCATCTGAACTCTTCACAAATGTATATGTCAAGGGTTTTGGAACAGAGGTATTTCTTCTCCTCAACTTAAAAGTTCAAATTTTCGATATTGAATGCATCATCTAGATCATAGCAGCAGCACACAATTGAAATGGTCCTTTCCTATCCTGTTTAGCAAACTAACGGACATCGAATTGTAATGAAACATCTGGAGTATCTCTCGACGCCCAATTGATGTGTTTCTGTTGATAATTTGAATTGCAGTCGTTCGGAGCTGATAGGAAAGAACTAAGAGCAACTCTTCCATAAGAACAGGCTGCGGAATCGTGGATCACACATAATGAAGCATATGTCTTCTCCCCGAGATTTTTTTCCGTTGTTCAAATGAATGGGTTGGTTACTGTATAGGATCACGCTGTGGATCCTCCCCTCTTGGTTCCTGGAATTGTTGGTCCTTTTTAGTTTTTGTGTAGTTTTTCCATTTTTACTCCGTTACCTTTGGCTGTGCGATTTGCGAACACACAGAATGTAAGCATTCCTTGTCTGAATTCACAGGCAATGTCTGGGTGATTCTTTGAGGAGTATTACGTACACCAGTATTGAAGAAAACCAATAAAACAAGCAAGGACACAAAGGAGATTTAAGTGGTTTCCCCATTTGATGTGAACATGACTAATTCATGGAGAGTAAACACTCTCAAGATGACTTGATTAGATGATGATTGAGAGTTAGGGTTCTAGGCTCTGTTGATGATTACATATAGAGTCCAAATTCTCCTATAGCTACTCCATTCCATGGAGAGTAAACACTCTCGAGATGTCTTGATAATATGATGATTGAGAGTTTGGCTTCTTGGCCTTGTTGATGATTACATATAGAGTCCAAATTCTCCTATAGCTACTCCGTGGAGAGTAAACACTCTTGAGATGTCTTGATTAGATGATGATTGAGAGTTTGACTTCTTGGCCAAGTTGATGATTACATATAGAGTGAATTCTCCTATAGCTACTCGGAGAGATAGAGAGAGATAAGGAAATTACAAGATTAATCCCTAACAAATAATAAGTGACAAATAATAAGCTATTAACAAGGACACGTAACACGCCCTCATAAGTGTAGGAATAAAGATCAAGCATTCCAAGCTTGACACACAAATAATTGAACTGATCGTTGCTCGGACCTTTGGTAAACATATCCGTCAGTTGTTCAGAGATGGAGATCTTGGAAGGAGCAATATCATGAGAGAGTACTCTTTCACGAACAAAGTAGCAATCCATCTCTGCATGTTTGGTGCGTTCATGGAAGATTGGATTAGCATAAATGTGAAAGGTAACGTGATTGTCACAATAAAGAGAAGTAGGAGTGGTCAAGGACACCCCTAAGTCACGGAGGAGCCAACGAAGCCAGATGAGCTCACTGTAGTAGCCATGGCGCGATACTCAGCTTCAGCCGATGAGCTAGCAATAACTACTGCTTCCTTGTACGCCAAGATACCGGAAGCAGCCAAGAGCGATAAAGTAGCCAGTAGTCGACCGCCAAGCGAGAGAACACACACCCCCATCAGCATCATAGTAAGCTGTAAGGGTGAGAGTCTATGAAGTCGGAAGAACAGGCGACGACCTGGTGAGTTCTTGAGATAACACAGAACCCGAAAAGCCGCATCCACATGAGCCTGTATAGGAGAATGAACAACCTGACTAAGGACATTCACAACATAAGGGATGTCCGGACGAGTGTCTGTGAGATATAACAGATGACCAACCAAACGTCGATAAGATGTAGGATAGGAGTTGCAATCGACGGAGAACGACCAAGCTTATGGTTCTGCTCAATAGGAGTAGAACTGGGATGAGTTGCATGAAGGCCAACGGCAACCAATATGTCCAACACATATTTTCGTTGATTGAGAACCATGCCTTAAGGTGAGCGAGGCACTTCGATACCCAGAAAATACTTCAAACGACAGAGATCTTTTATTGTGAAACGAGAATGTAGGAAATCCTTGGCGCGTTGTATGGAAGTCATATATGTGCCAACCAAAATGACGTCACCAACGTAGATGAGAGTCACATCAAAAGTCGCCCCCTGCAGATATACAAAGAGAGAGTGATCAACCTTGCTCGAAGTGAACTGTAACTCCTTGAGTGCCTGAGAAAACTTATGATACCAATTACAAGATGCTTGCTTCAACCCATAGATGGACTTGCGCAAACGATAGAACCGAGTATCACCCGGACTAACGAATCCTTACGGGACTTTCATATAGACTTCCTCGGTCAAATCACCATGAAGAAAGACATTATTAACATTGAGTTGATGAATATGCCAGCCACGCGTGACAACTACTACAAGAAGACAGTGAACCGTTACCATCTTATCAATGAGAGAAAAGGGATCATGATAGCCAATGCCCTCGATTTGAAGTGTAAAGTTTGGAAATGAGACGTGCTATATAGCGGTTGACTGTGCCATATGGGTTGAAATTGACTTTCTAGACCCATTTACACTCAATCGCCTTGACACCAGGAGGTAGATACTCGAGAGTCCAAGTTCCATTTGCTTCTTGAGTTGTGATCTCCGATTGCATGGCATTAAGCCAATGGGCATTTCGAACAACTTGATAGAAATATTTTGGCTGATCCTAAATACTGACTGCAACCACAAAGGTTGGATGAGCAGGAGAGAGGCGACGATTGTGCAAGTACTGCTCCAAAGGATAGACAACTTGGGACGCTTGGGGCTTGTGGTCATTAAAAGGACGACCAGGAATATCCACATCATAGCCATGAAGTCGAATGAAGGGGATGGTGACCCTTGTACTATGACGCACAATAGGCAGAAGGGCGCAATTCCAGATGAAGTAGAGCTGGACGGATATGGCATCGTGGAAGGAGACAAGGGAATCAGGCGATGCTAAGATGGGTATAGCAGAAGGCTGAGCAGCCGAGGAAGGAGACGAAGGCATGACCTCCGCAAGCATAGAGGCTGCAAGATCGGCCGGAGAGGAAGTTTCTGTTGAGGGAGACAACAAAGTAGGAGTGGTAGCTTCAATGAAGGGGACAAGTCAATAAATGGGGTTGTGTTGACCGAGCTGACAAGTGGGATGGAGTGTGGACCTAACAGTAGGGGAAGATGTGTTCATGAAAATTAACATCCCTGGAAGTGTAGATGACTTTACGCTCCAAATCATAGACTCGATAACCTCGTTGTGTGGGAGGATAACCGAGAAAGACGCGTGCTCTGCCCCTATCGCTGATTTATGGAGTCCATGATAATGAATTTGAGCATATACCATGCAGCCAAAGCTGCGTAAATGAGTATAAGACGGATCCTTGTCAAATAGAATATGATATGGAGATCAATTTCCAATAGAAACGAGAGCCATACAGTTAACAAGATAGGCTGTTGTGAGTCCGCACTCACCCCAAAACCAGAGAGGGAGATTGGCATGGAACTGAAGAGCGTGTGCGGTGTCTAAGAGATGCCGATGTTTATGCTCGACCACCCATTTCTGTTGAGGTGTGTCAATACACGAAGTTTGTATGAGAATTCCTTCTAAATCATAATAACTTTTCAGTTCAACTATGGAGAATTCATGAGCATTATCAAACTTGAACTTTAACAAAAACACCCAAACTACACGACGGAAGTCATCAACAATGTCAAGAAAAACCATGCACCAGAGTAAGATTTGACCTTATAACTGTCCCGTACATCAATGTGAATCCACTCAAAACAAGTCGTTGATTGTATGGTACTAGAAACAAAAGGAGCCCGAGTGTGCTTCACACGAAGACATGAATGATATGGTTTCGAAGGATAAACAACTGGATACGAAATAAGCTTACGCAAAATATTGAATTTCACCCCCGATGGATACCCAAGATGCGCATGCAAGAGAATTGGACTATCAACAGGCTACTGAACTAAGTTGGCCATCGCGTGAAAACCATCGAAAAGCTTGAGATAATAGAGACCAGCAACATGCTGCCCCATCAAAATCAGCTTCCTGGAGGGTAGAGTCAAAACTAGCTTCAGAAGACAGAGAGATAGATTTTTCGATATTGTGATAACTTGATTTATGTTATCATTTGAACTTGAAGTAACTTGTAGTGTAGTGATACAATACTTTTATATTACCTAAAATTGATGAATGCATTCCTTAATTTATACTTATATATATGGGTATTTTATTTTTATCCAAAAGTTACATGTGTCCTGGGACACATCCAAGAGCCCCTGGCTCCGCCTGTGGGTTCGGGTTGGATAGTACGAAAATCATGCACATCCATTGCTCGTAATATTTGGGTTCGGATTTTAATCCTATTCACTAAAAATCCTTCGAATTAGCATTTTACGCTACCCAATTAAGTCGAATTGAGACAAATATCCTTGATTGCATATATGTTTGCCATCCTACTAAACTCTCACTATAAAATAACCAATTCTTTCCATTGGAATAAAAGATAAATTAAAAAAGGCAAAATACACTTGTGTAGCCAAAACTTTGACGGTTTTGCCAAATATAACCACTTTTGAAAAAATACCAAAAATAGCCACTTCCGTCCAATTCTTTGACGGTGTGAGTTAACGTGCTGACTGGACTAACGAATCGTCTGATCTGGCGATTTTTGTCTGTACGTATTTCCCACGTGGATTTACTAATTTTTTTAAAAAAATAACAATAATTAAAATTAAAATATTTTAAATGGTTGGGTCTTTTGATTTATGAAAAATAAAAACTAATAAATAAAACAAAAAAAAAACTTCTCTCACCCAACCTACCCTCTGTTCTCCGCCCTCTCCCCACCTCCATCGCCATCTCGATTCTTCCCTGCGATGGCATTGCCGCCAGACTAGGTTGGGAATGGATTTCGCCATGGACGAGATTTTCGTCCCACTGCCTCGTCCTTTCACCTTCTTCCTTCTCGTCCCTTTCACAAGCAGTCGAACCGTCAGAGAGCTCCCCCAACGCGGCTCTGCCCTTCGAATCGTCATAGAGCTTGTCTAGAATTCCCAACGGGCCTCTCGCTCATGCTCTGCTCTTTCTAGGAGGAAATTATCATCTCCGGGTGGAACGAGACAGAGTCGGCTTCGATTAGGGATGATCTGAAAGCGATCACCGGATTTTGAGGTTGAGATCTGAAGGAGCCGGAAGATTAGGGTTAGGAAGAGGTTGGATACGAAGGGGGAGATTGGCGGCGATTCAGCTTCCGTTTGATTACAAGAACCAGAGTAGAGCCTTGATCGATTCCGGCGAAGTAAGGTGGTCGCGAGCTGCTGCTTCTTCTCCTCCTCCGAAAGCGGCGATGAGGACGGCGGCGACGTCATTGGAGCGATAAAATCTGCTTTTTCTCCTCATCCAAACGCGGCGGTAAGCGATGGAAATCCGGTTATGTTTGATCTCGTTTCTCACAGCAGCCGATCTTCCTCAAGCATTCTCGGTCGTTTAGGGAGTTTGGATGAACTAACTCGATTTGGGGTTCTTTTTTCGAGTGGAAGAGAGAAGAAAGGGTCCTAGGTTTGGGAATCCACCGCCGTCGAGTTCGCCATCTCCATCTCTGGTGATTCTCCGGTTGGTTGAGTTTGGTGCAAAAAGGGGGTTTAAGCGAAACTGCGGGAACCCACCTCCG